GGACCGGGGAGCTGGGGAGATAAGAGGCACACAGCCCTCTACTCCCTCCACACCTTCCTGCACCGCCCCCCCGCCCCCCGCACAAAGCCTGTGCACCTCGATTTTGCTGTGCCCGTGCAAATCCCCAGTCCTCTTCCTGAGCCCCACCCGGCCACGCGCACGGGTCTCTACAGCCCCTGGCACCTGTTCGCTCAGCTGGTCACACCTGCACAGCCCCATCCACACAGGCTTCCTCCGCCAGGGGCAGTGCCCGTCCTGCCCCATCTTGAGTGGGCTCCGGGGTGTTTGCACGGATGCTGCCTGGCAGAAACGCTCCTGCCCGCAGCTCGCCTTGGTCTACATCTCTCACACACACACACACACACACACACACACACACACACACACACACACTCACCGTGCTCTGGTAAGGCTGGTTCCCCAATTTTCTTCTCCAACTGCTCAACTACCAGTTGACATCTCAGTCTCTGGAGCGACTTAGATTTCAGGACCATGGCCTTAGGAATGCTGGGAATCCTTTCGTTCGCGAGGAGTCAGGCCTGGACACCCACACACCATGATGGCTCCAGCAAAGCAGCCCGGCGTGAGTTCTGACTCAGGGGTCTGACTTCCCTCACAGGTAAACAGGACGTGGTACTCACAGCCCACATTCCCTCCTGGCGCCACACCCATCCCCAGCTGCCTCCTCTCCCTCCTCTCCTGGACCTGCAATCCAGGTTCTGGTGTGGAGGTAACATCTAGAGCCAGCTGACTTCCATCCCAGCCGCCACCACTTACTAGTTGTGACACGTTGAGCAAAGTTACTTCACTTCTCTGGGCCTTGGTTTCCTCATCTATAAAATGTGGATAATAATAGGATTAAATGAGCTTACATAAGTAAAGGGCTTAGAACGGTGCCTAGCACAGAGTAAAGGCCACATATTAGCTATAATTATTATCCTGTGGCCCCAGCCTAGATGGTATTCATTTTAACTTCTCACTACCCCACATTTTCAACCCCCATCTCTCTGGGTCAATACCAGGTGGGTTTCTCTAGACCAGTGATGGCAAACCTATGACACACATGTTAGAGGTGACACGCGAACTCATTTTGTTGGTTGATTTTCTTTGTTAAATGGCATTTAAATATATAAAATAAATATCAAAAATATAAGTCTTTGTTTTA